TAGCTTATAATAAATATGGTGATTAAGTTATAAATTATATTTAAATTCAAGGTTTTATTCATTAACTATTTTAGATAAAATTAACATTCAATTTACTCTAAGTATTGTGATCTTTTAGATGCATCGGACAAAGGTTGAGTATGAGGAAGAGGAAGAGGAAGATGAAGAGGAAGAGGACGAGGAGGAAGAAGAGGAGAAAGAGGATGAGGAACCTATGAGCAACTAAAGTAGAAGTTCTTCCGGAGATGACGCAGCTGAAATATTAGCTGAGATTCATGACGAGCGTGGATTTAGTCTAATAATCTAATGTACGACCTTATTGGACAATCTATTAGCTTCTAATGTACGGCTACTAAATGTTGCATTTTGTTAAACTTTATGGAACTTCGGTTTTATCTGTTTTATTACAAAAATTTGTGGACTAACTACCAAGTATCTATTATTCAAATGAATCACTTGTCAAAACATATATTAAAAAAAAAAAAAAAAAAAAAAACAGTTGAATGACTTGAGTCACCTATATATACTTTTTTCTTACATTTATTTAATGCATCATTGATAATTTTTTATTTGTTGTTTCCCCTATATCCCCCTTTTTTCCCTTACTATTGTTACATTATAAAAAAATAAAAATAAAAAAATAAATAATAAAATCTAGCTTTGACTCTTAGCTTATTGACACGTCAATCAATGATACATCTTTGTGGTGAACAATATGTTTTAAGAAAAAAAAAAAGTGAGCTTAATAATTAATAAGAATGCATGATACATAAGATGATATTTGTATGAATCATAAGTTGAAAAGCTAATAGTTAAAACATAACAATAAAATATTTTGTAGGCACATAAGAAAGTCACATACTAATGAAACCGAATACTTTGAATTTCTAAGGAAGCATAATAATTAGTCAAACGTACTTCACTTAGACACTGAAGACAAAGTTACATTTGATGCTACATAAACTTTTAACACCAAAAGATTGTCCCTAAGTAGTAATTTTCAAATAAAGACACAAAACATAATGCATAAACACTAAAAGGAACCCTCGTAACAACAAACATTTTTGACCAATAGTTAAAAGCCTTTCAAAATAAGAACCGCAGTGACATTGCAATAGTCACTAATATCTTCATTACAGTTGTAAGAGACCTTTCAAGGAACTCGAGCCTATGCATGAAGTACCGGAAACCATTTTGTGGAGGTGTGTGAACCAAATCCGAATCAGTTGCCCAATACCAATAGTCGCAACGTCTGCATTTGTAGTATGGCCGATTCATGTTTGTTTCGGACATCGAAATGCGAAATTAAGCCAAATGGAGGATTGCATAGACACTACCTTGTGATAACCCAAGCGAGGTCAGTCGTGACGGTTGGATTGGTTGAATGGGTTCTATTCCTTGCCATTGTAATATTTTGAGGTGATAGGGTTATAATGAAAATAAGGGATATGTTTTAATTGTAAACTTGAAGGGCTTAGACATAGCTTAAGTAGGTGACAATCTTGGAGGGAAAACATGTACTTATTTCCCACCAGATTCTTCTAGGACTTCTCATCATTATATATATATATATATATATATATATATATATATATATATATATATATATATATATATATATATATATATAACTAAAGGTGTTGCAAAAAATCATTAAATTGATTTTGTGTTCATAAAGGGTAACACTTAATACTCATACTTTGTACAATTATTGTTTATATAAAAATATAAGTAACAACTCTTTTTTTTAAAAAAAAAGAAATATAATGAAAACAATGACATAGAAATGTAAGAGAGAAAAGAGGATATAAATAAGTGAACAAAGTAGTTGGATGCATTGAATTTTGTAGGTAACTCTTAACATACACCAAAATATTGACAAGTCCTTTAATGATGAAGAAAAGACCTTAGTTGACTTATGACCTTTTTGTACGCATATGAGGCAATAATAGTATTCTAATCAAAATCGCCCTTCTCTCGACATTCGAAAATTGCGATAAACTCAATAAGGGCCAATATAGCCTAGATAAAGCATGTCCAAAAACAAAAAATAAGCAAACACAACAATATTTATCTAAACCGAAAGTATGTGACATATTCCTTTACATATTAGTAGACTAATTTAATGCTTCCTTATTTTTTCTTCATCTAAATATTAACATTTTATGTTAAGGGACCTTATGGTCAAACCAAGCAAGTCATACTTCTAAATAGAAAAAAAAATTAAAAACCTTCTAAAATTATTTTAGTTAGATATAAGTACTCACAAAATTGCAATGTAGTTAGATATAACAACAAAATTTAAAGATATTAAGGTCAAATACTATAATAAACACTATGTTAATATATTTAGTTATTTAATTAATGTATACGACAATTTCAGTATTAGTGTCTTAATAATTTCATATATTTTTTTAATAATTTAACTCCATGTATAAAATTTACAAATACTCATGTATACTTTTATGGAAAAGGAAAAATGGATACTTTGTTTAGATTTTATACTCTAGGGTCTTCATCAATCAAAATGCAAGATAATGTACTCTATCTTATTGTATGGTCTACATACCTATTTATTTTATTTATTCATTTGACTTTTTGTATTTATTATTTAAAGTCATGCACCCTTAAATAATGCTTTTATGTACTTGAAAAATCCAAAACAAAGTATGATGTAATTTACTTATATAGCTTCATAAAAACTCAATATAATGTAAGAGTTAATGTCACTCCTTTCCAAGTCCAATTAAGTGATAATTGTGATATTGAAATTACATTTCTATCTACTTATGTATGACACCATATCACTCTACAGAAATCATCAAAAAAATATCATGTATACATAAATATCAACTAACATATAAGAAGTACAACTTTAATTAATAACATTATCATAATAAGGCCTCTTATAAGAGGGATGAGATCAATACAATGAAAAATAGGATCGATTGTACTTAATGAACTTTAGTGACAAAAACTTTAAATACTAAACTACACAAGTACACCCCGATAACCATCGTTACACCCATAATTTATAGGAAAGTTCCTCATACATGCATAGTTTAATAGTATCATTAATCGGCCAAAGTTAGCTCCTCATAAGTGTCAAAATAGTAATTCCTTGTCCATACTTTCCCAGCAAAATCCAACACTATTATGTAATCCTCTGGGTAGTCCTTAGTGTCGAAGGGGTTGGCCATACAAAGAGCCATGTGGGCAGTAGGATCATAACCATTTTTCAGAAACATCATTGCCTTGAATTAGACATATTTTGCATCATATCCATAACTAATTAAGTGATAAGTTTCAAAAAAAACCATCATGAGCGTAGCTAACCCACTCCATAGTTAAGATGGGTTTGTCAAGGTCTTTCTTGGGATCAAAGAATTTCCTACCTAACAATAACAAACCCCAAACAGTACGGTTATTATTGTGGGGTGCCATTTTTTCTTGAACCATGAGTAGTCAATCTTCCAAGGGCATGAAAAACTCAAAGACTATTCTTAGGAAACAATAAAAGTGGGGAAACATAAAGCAATTAAGTAAAGTGCGTCTTAGGTGAGCTAGGCTATAGCTAAAGAACATTTTGCGATAATTTAGGAGGTAAAAAAATATAACAATAGGCCTCTTTCCTAAAATCTTTAGCCCCCCGAGTGATATAGGTGTTAAGAACGGATACTCGGGATGGCAAGTAATACCTGAGACGGCCCCATACCCAAGGCGAGTGATAATACTAAGTTAGTGTCCTCGCAACATTGATTTTTGACGTTCTACAACATAATGAGTACCGATAAGCGCTTAACGTCATGCTGCCCTTTTTCATCCATTTAATTGCATTAGTCTTCCAATTGTGCCATAGTCATCTTCTCTCTTCTTTTCCGAATCGTTTTCTTTTTCACTAGTCTCCTCCCCTTTACCATCTTCGAATACACCATATCTAGCTTCTTCTACCAAATAACAACACAAAATTATTATAATTAAAATATATGTTACAAAAAATGTACGAATTTGACACTAGTATTACTATTATAATTGAAAAATAGAAACCTTGGTGTGCACTCTTTTTCTTACTAGTAAAACAAAGGGAACACAAACGTTCTTACTTTTTTAATAATTATTTTGTAGTATGATATATATGCCTATTAAGTACCTATTATATAGATATAAGGGTGTTGGAGTAGAAATTATAGCTATTATGACCTACTTGTAAAACCATAAGGGCTACTTTCTCAACCACCTAATTTAATAAATGATAAGGAGGTGATATTATTTTATTGTTGTCCGTTATATTTTAATTGCATCAATATTTGTTTCTTGAAATTCAATAACTCGAAAAGTTGAAATCTAATTTAACGATTTGGCCGTAATTTTTACGACTTTAGGATATTCACCTTATTATAAGTACATTAATTAAGTATAAACGTTAATTTTAAGAGGAAGTACACTAAACTAGTGGCGGAGCCACTAAGGAAATTTGGATGACATATGTCCCCCAAAAGCCAAACCTAAATATTCAATTTCTTTTTTGGGGTAAAATACAAGCATTTGTTAAAGGTAATATATAAATTATACCTGTAAGTACAAACGTTAAGATAGCATTAGCTTCGTGGATGAGGTTTTATTGTTATAGTGTATTTGCTTACTTAATCCTAGGTTCGAATCCTCACAATAGTTGTTCTATTATTGGGTTTTCTTTATCTAGCTTATTTTTCGTATTTTTGTCGTCCTCGTTGTTTAAGGATTTCATTAATTGATAGTTGCATTTTTTAATATATTTTTTTAATTAATTGATAATTGCATTGTTTCTAACAGTTTTGACGGCGTAAAGTGACAGTATATGAAAGGACACGATGGTTTAAATTGCAATGCAATTATGACATTGGGTAATTAAAAGTTAGGCTTCACTTTCTTATATTTCCTTTTTTATTTATCGGTTTGTTTTTAAGGGTTTCTATATTCTTTTGGTTTTCTCTGTCTTTTCTTTCATTTAATTCTTTCAAATGGCTAACAATGGTAGTTCTGGTGATGGTGATTATGATTCTTTTAGAGCCCGTCTTCTACAGATGCACAATGAATTGGCTAAACTTACAGCCGAGCGTAGTCGTAAGTTACATGAATTATTGGTGTTGAGTAAGAAACTAAGTCAGATTCGGAGCCAGCGCATTGGTGAAATTTATCGAGATGTTGATCAAATGGTTCCTAGGGGTACGTTCCTGGGTGTGGGAAATGAAGGGCCTTCTGAAATGAGGAATGCAGCGAGAGGAGTGAATTTGATGGGTCGGGATGCTGGTGAGGAGCATGCGGAAGTGTTGGAAGATGTGGAGATGATGCAGGCAAAGAACGAACCTGATGATGAAGATGACGATGAAGATGACGAAGATGGAGATGAAGATGACGAAGATGATGATGGTGAGGATGGTGAGGAGGAGGAGGCTGAACATGGAGAAGATGGCAAAGATGATGATGATGTTGAGGAGAGTTCGAGTTCTGAAGGTGGGGGTGGTGGTATCTAATGATGATGAATCTGATTATGGAACGGATGAGTCCTCGATCGATTCTGATGCTTATCGGTGTACTCCTAGGAATTTTGATCATATTGTTTAGATTGTTTTGGTGTTGATGGTTGTTTAGTTAAGTTCTTTGTTATGTATGTTTACTTTTTAGAATAGAAAATCATTAGTAGTTGCCGAAGCCAATTAATTTTGAGTTATTTAGAACGAAAAGTGTAGAGGTGTTGTAGGAATTGGCTTTAGTGTTTATCGGATTGTATTAGGTATTTGTTTTGGTGAAATGAATGAACTAATTTGGTATGATATCAATTTTGAGTTATCGAAGAAGTGTTGGCTTGTTGTTAGTGATAATACAATTCTACAATACGTTTGATTTGACAACTTTAAAGAATTACCTCTAGATAAATAAATACTTAGCATTCCTTTTTTGCATATAATTTTACAATTACTTCTAATTCCTAGTTACATCTAATTGTTTTATTACAAGAATTCCACAATTCGATTGATTTGATGATTTTACAAGTATTCAAAATGACCAATTTTCAAGACAAAATCGATTTGGTAATTTCTCTGCCCAAAAAATAAAATGTAGCAACGTCAGCACCAACATATACATAAGTGTTGCAAAGATAATTTTATACTCTACTTTGGTGTTTGGTCTTCATTCCTATAATGTTTTAAAGCATTATTTACTTTTTGTATATATTATTTAAAGTCATCTTTCCTTTATATTTCTATCTACTCAATCCTTTACATTCCTATCTAGTCACCTCATTATATTTCCGTGTACCTAATAATATTCCTTTCATTAATAAGACTCCTTTCCTAGTCTAAATTAATGTAAGCAAGAGTTAATAGGACTCCTATAATTAAGTGACAATTGTGCTACTGAAATAATGAATTTGAATCTCCTTACTAAAAGAAGAAGGAAAACACCCTATTACACTAAATAATTAAAAAAAAAAAAAACAAATATCATATACAATAAATATGAACCAACACAACTCATAATAATATAATAATAAAAGTTCCTCTAATAAGAAGGATGATATTAGTACAATGCAAAAGACATTGGGTTGTACTTTAATGCACCAAAAGTGACAAAAACTTTATATAATAATAACCTACATAAATAGACCCTGATAACCATCATTACACCCATATTTTATAGAAAACTACCTCATACATGCATAGTTTAACACTATCATTACTTTAAATTAAAGAAGACAAACCACAAAACCCTAATTAATATTCAAAATCATTATAGTCTAGAGCTCCACTTCCGTCATCGGACACATCATCGTCGTTTTCGATATCATCTTCACTTGATCAAATATCTTCGCCTTGTTCCCAATCCTCATCTGATTCGGGGGTCGCATAACCTTCATCTTCACCATTCCATTGATAGGCCGAAGTTAGCTCCCAACTACTGTCAAAAAAATAATTCCTTGTCCAAACTTTTCCAGCAAAATCCAACAATATTTGGTACTCCTCTGGGTAGTCAATAGATTTGAAGGGGTAGGCCTTACAAAGAGCAATACGGGCAGTAAGGTCATAACCATTTTTCTAAAACATCATCGCCTTGAATTGGACATATTTTGCATCATATCCAAAATCAATTAAGCGATAGGTTTTAGTGAAATCATCATGAGAGAAGCCAACCCATTCCATAGTTAAGATGGGTATGTCAAGGTCTTTCTTAGGGTCAAAGAATTTCCTACCTAACACTAACAAACCCCAAACCATACAGTCATTTTTTTGGGGTTCCATTTTTTCTTGAACCATGAGTAGCCAATCCTCCAATGGCATGAAAAACTCAAAGATCCTTCTTAAGAAACGGTAAAAGTGGGGAAACATTAAGCAATTAAGTAAAGTGCGTCTTAGGTGAGCTAGGTTAAAGCTAAAACTCACATTGCAATAATTTAGGAGGTAAAAAAAGTAACAATAGGCCTCTTTCTTAAACTATTTAGCCGTCCTGAGTGACATAGGTGTTAAGAACGGATACTCAGGATGGCAAGTAATACCTGTAACGGCCCCAAACCCAAGGCGAGTGATAGTACTCAGTTGGTGTCCTCGCAACATTAATTTTTGACGTTCTAGAACTTAATGAGTACCGATAAGGCGCTTAACTTCATGCTGCCCTTTTTCATCCATTTGTTTAAGTAAGTCATCCAATTGTGCCATAGTCACCTTCTCTTGCCTTTCCCCAATAGTTTTTCTTTTCTTTACTTGTCTCCTCCCCTTCGTCATTTTAGAAGTCAACATATGTTCCTCTGCACAATTACATGAAAAAATTAGTATAAGTAAAATAAATGTAACAACATTGAATTAATTAGATAATAGAATTACAAAACAAATTTGACAAAAATATACCTTGGGGTGCACCCACGTTACAGTGGTAAAATAAGGGAAAAACTCTTTTTCTTACTTTTGATAAATAAAATATTTTATATTATGAGTTACTATGCCTATGAACATACTATTATATAGATGTGTAAGAGTGTTAGGGTATAAATTATGACTACTATGACCTACTTGTAAAACCATAAGGGCTAGCTTCTCAACCACCTAATAAATGATGAAAAAAATGTGTAAAAACTTTAAGAAGCCTCATATTTTCATTTGAACAAACAATCTTATCTTGCAATAACTCAGGAAATTGAAATATAATTTAACGATTTGGACATGATTTTTACGACTTTAGGTGACTTCACATTATTAAACAAAAAATAAGTATTATTAAACAATTTTAAGAGGAAGTCCACTACACTATAACTCTTGCCATACAGTAGAAGTAAAGTAAGAAAGATATGATGGTTTGTAATAAATGTTAGCATTAAAGTGGCCAACACATATGACGCTTGTTTGTTTATTTTTTGGCTTTAAGGTTTATTTGATGTTATTTTGTAGTGGCCAACAAAACATAAATAATTTATATTTATCTATTTATAGATCTAGTTAATTATCATTTATGCAAAGTTAAAATTATTTTAACCTTCTATTAAAACCCTAAACCCTTAGCTTAATGGAAAAACAAATAACATTATCAAGTTTATTTGACCTATTATTACCCTAGGGTATGAACTAGGGGAGTAACACCACATAAGCTACCTTCTGAACCACCAAATAATGATAAGGTGTAAACAATTTATTACCACCTCATTGTTGAATTTAAACCCTCAATCGTATACTTATGAAAACTTATAAATACTTGCATTGAAAAATATTGTATATATTTTTTAAACATCATATTAGTGAGAAAATATTTCAATAATGTATTTTAATTATAACCTAGGACATTGTTATCGGATCGAACTTCGTCAGACTGCGTAGGGTCAAAGTCCGATCCGCCTCAGCCATGTGTGATCCGCTTCATATCCGCAAGCAAAAATTCGGATTTGGGTTCGGATTATTTTAAATCGCATTCCAATAAGATTCTTTGTCATTCATAAAATATATCGCGTTCGAATCGAACTCGGATTGAATTGCAATCCCTAATAACAATGACATGATGGTTGGTATTAAATGCTAGTTTGTTTAATTTTTGCCTTTCTCCTTTATTTGATCTTTTTTTTAGTTACCAAGAATGAAATAATTTATAATGTATGACTTATAGTTATCTTTATGTACAGTTAAATTATTCAAGACGAATCCTAAAACAGTTACCCTTTACCCTTAACCCTTAACCCTTAATCCTAAACCCTTAACCCTAAACCCTATACCCTAAGGTTATTTGACATAATGGTACCCTATGTGACTGCAATAGTATGGGGTGGGAAATTAATAGCCTAAGTGCTATAGTATTAATATTACTAAATTCACCCGTTGAATGTATGCGTTATTGTTAAAAAATAATTACAGACTAAGCCAATATACTAATTCAAAATTCATTATCGTCATAATTTTTAAATAAGTCTTTATTGTAAAAATTCAATTTTTTTACTTTTAAACAACACCACCATTTAATCAATAATATCATATCACAAAAAGAAATTTCACGTAATTTAAGGCTTAAGGAATATCACCAGATGACCACCTATTAATTTACTAGATAGATTGCAAATGTAGGACTCTAATAGCATTCCAAGTGTAATCAATAGAATTATAGTCGTGGAATTCCATTAAACAAGTAATTAGATCAATTTGATTGGGAGCTATTTGCTCAAAAAATAACTCCTTGATTGTTTTCAAAAAGCAAAATACACGGCCTAAGTTTTGTAGTGGGAGTAGCGGTTAGTACCTTATTTCTTAAACATAGTACCAGATCATACGAATACAAGAAGCAGTACGAATATATGTTAATACAATTACAGTTGGAATTGCAACCATAATTAAATATAGAATCAGGAAAGAACTCAACAAAAGTTTAATCTTGTGGCTCCGATTGTTATATGATCAATTTGTGCGTTTAATAATGGCTTGAAGGGTTGGGCATAAAACATTTTCATCCGATAATACATCCTCAACAACCAGCTGGAGTCTAGCTTTGGGAATGGAAACCTGAATTGAAATGTTAAGGTTTATATGCAAATAATTCAGTAAACAAATCAATAGAGAAAAACAGGTGCTAAATTAGACTAAACAAAACGCAGCATCAAGACTCTACAAATCAATAGGTTCGAGATTACCGTTCCACTTTCAACTGCAAACCGTTCACAGCACAACTTCATATAGCGCAACATCAAGACTCCATAGACCTTGCTACATTACAAGAATTACATAGTTTGAAAACAAGTGAAGTGCAATCAATAAGAAATAATTTTATCGATAGACCATTTGTGTACTCAATTATCTTTTTGTTGGGGGATTTCCAATTGCTTTAATTCCCACTGGGCAACTCATTAACCAACAAGGTATGATCCACACAATGTAACATCACATCAACAGCTTCTATCTAAAAGACGTAGGTAGTTTAGAATTAGCCATTTAGATTTCACATAAACGAAAGGGAGGAAAATATGAGGTCTTACCAATTCCCTGATTGTAATCTCGTGCTTGACCAA